CTATAAGGCTACGTTCACACTAGCGTTGTGTGCAGGCGGCAGAGAGGCGTTTGGGAAGTGTGTTTTTACCGCTTCCCAAACGCCTCGGACAATTCTGCACATTGCAGCACATGGTGCTGTTCTAACGGGAGCGTTAGCATCACGGCAAAAGGGACGCCTCTGTTCGAGTCAGGAGGCGTTGAAGCCTCCTATTCTAGTCTATGGTGCCGCTCCACAAACGCCCGGTCGGCGTTTGCGGTGCGGTTGCAATGCAGCTGCGGAGCGTTTGCAGAGCGGTAACACCATTCAAACTTCATTATAGACGTTTGTGGGGCGTTTTTAACACTCGGCAAACGCCTAGCAACCTCTGCTAAACCGTGCATGCGGCGTTTGCCGAGCGTTAAAAAAAGCTCCGCAAACGCCGGACCAACGCTTGCCAAACGCTATAGGGGCGTTTGGCAAGCGTTGGTAAAACAGTCAAGTGTGAATGAGCCCTACAAAGCGTTCCTTTAATTTTTTTGAGCAGTGTCTATAAAATCTCTGCTTTGTCTTATATGTATGACCTTTAAATAAAAACCGCAATCCAGAAAAGAGAAATGGCAGGGAAAAAAAAGACGCAATGCACCACAAAAAACATTCAAACGCTTAAAAAATTATACAAACAGTATCGGTGTACTACAAATCACCAAATGAAGGCACATAAATAAAAATAAATACGTGCAGTTTTTTTTTTCTAAAACACATTTGAATGAATGAGCTGTTAAGTGTTGCATGCTAACTGCTCATTATTTTTTAGACTTCTTGAATTATGGGCAACAGCAGGAATAAAGTTCCCCGTTTTGTATTTGTTGCGCTACACACCAGATGAACACATGCGATAACATCCCGAGGCCAAGAGAGCGGACCGCGATCGCTACAACAAGGTGCGGGGAGTGTGAATGAAGAAGTTTATAATTGTTTGCTGCAAGGAATTTTTAAAACATGCACAACAATTACAATGCGTTTTTCACAGGTACAGATCTCCTACCTACACAAGCTGAAAATAGAATTTGGGATGCCAGGGAGACAAAATGACTTATATGCAAATCAGATAGGAAATCACACCCAATTAGACTTGCAATGAAAAAGAAAACTTTTATATGGGGGAAAAATAACCCTATTTATGAGGTTTATGTATCACTAACACTTGGAAGAATAAAAAAAAAAGAATATAAAATGAGAAGATGCATATTTCTATTCTTCTCTCAAAGCTGCCATTGGTGGGGATGGGGCAATGACGCGGCATAGTTCCTACCGCCTCACTGATTTTACAGCAGACTACAGTTTATTCTGGGTGTAGTTTACAAGGCAATTTGTAAACCAGCAGCTCTCTCAGCTTTAGATCTTAAAGCGTATTTCCACCAATGCAGCCAAACTGGCAGAACACCTACGTTACATTTGGTACCGTATTTTCTGGCGTATAAGACGACTTTTTAACCCATGAAAATCTTCTGAAAAGTCGGGGGGTCGTCTTAAAAGCCGGTATACGGCGAGCCGGTGTCAGGGCGGCACATTTTCGGGGGGCCGCGCGGTGCTGCCCCCTTCCCCAATGGAAGAGACACTAAGTACAGGGGCGGGCAGGGGGCTGCTGTTTCTTACCTGGCTCCGGTCTCGGTCCCACGATGATCCGGTCCAGGAAGCGCAGCAGCTCCTTCATTCTGTTCGGCCGAACGATGTCCACGCGGCTGCTCGGCTCCGCCCTCCTCGCGGGTGATTGGGCACCAGAACTGTAGCTCAGGAAAGGCACACAGGCGGCCAATTACCGACGAGGAGGTGGAGCCGAGCAGCCCCGCGAAAACCGAGTGAGAGAGCGGCCGGTAAGTGTGCAGCAGCACCATGCTGGAACACTATTGGCACTATTCCTCCCCCCCTCACTGACACAAACGATGGGGCACTATTCCTCCCCCACTGACACCAACAATGAGGCACTATTCCTCCTCCCCACTGACACCAATGATGGGGCACTATTCCTCCCCCCACTGACACCAATGATGGGGTGCTATTCCTCCCACTGACACCAATGATGGGGCACTATTCCTCCCACTGACACCAATGATGGGGCACTATTCCTCCCACTGATACCAATGATGGGGCACTATTCCTCCTGCTGATACCAATGATGGGGCACTATTACCCCCCCCCCCCACTGACACCAATGATGGGGCACTATTCCTCCCCCCACTGACACCAATGATGGGGCACTATTCCTCCCACTGACACCAATGATGGGACACTATTCCTCCCACTGACACTAATGATGGGGCACTATTCCTCACACACCTGACACTAATGATGGGGCACCATCATTCATGTCAGTAGGAGGAATAGTGCCCCATCAATGATAGTGTCCAGTGGGAGGAATAGTGTCCCATCATGAGTGGGGTGTCAGTGGGAGGAATAGTGCCCCATCATTGGTGTCAGTGGGAGGAATCGTACCCCATCATTGGTATCAGTGGGAGGAATAGTGCCCCATCATTGGTATCAGTGGGAGGAATCGTACCCCATCATTGGTGTCAGTGGGAGGAATAGTGCCCCATCATTGGTATCAGTGGGAGGAATCGTACCCCATCATTGGTGTCAGTGGGAGGAATAGTGCCCCATCATTGGTATCAGTGGGAGGAATAGTGCCCCATCATTGGTGTCAGTGGGAGGAATAGTGCCCCATCATTGGTGTCATTGGGAGGAATAGCACCCCATCATTGGAATACCATACTGAAATACCATACCATATTGAAATCAAATCTGATGTTTTTTAATTATTTGGTGTACGTTGAAAGAGGGGTAGTCTTATACGGCGAGTATAACCCAAACTCTATATTTTAACAGGAAAAGTAGGGGTCGTCTTAAACGCCAGAAAATACGGTACATACTTTCATTCACATAACATAGCTTAACCCCTTGAAGCCGAGAGCATGCAAGTATGTGGCCTCTCGGCATCTGGGCCTTGACGCCGAGCGACCGCATATTTGCTGAGAGCGTGCTCTCAGCACATAAGTCCGTGACTCACGGAAAGGTCCCGATCTCCCCTTGGGATCAGGACCTTTTCTGATCATATGACGGCGAATCACGGCGGTCACATGACCCTAAAACCCCGCCTAACTCCTGGCTTCTGAAACTCTTAAACGGCCGGGAGGTGCCAGCGTGAACATTTAAAAAAAAAAAAACCTGAAGTCTACCACTGCCTTGCTAAGGAGGGGTCTGGCAAGTTAATATATGGCATATTTAATCCCATCTCTCCTGTGGTGACATATATCATTATCAGTTGCAAATTAATATTTGAACAGTTTCTGTCCTAACAAAGGGTTAAAGTGGAACTACACTGCATCTGAGCGCCACAAACCAAAAATGCTTTTTCATTAATTTTTAATATTCAAAGCAAGCTCCCCCCTTCATCCATGTCCCCATGATTTATTTTGTTGAAAAATCACTTTGAAAAACACCCCCCTAGCAAGCACCATGTCCATCTTGAGTAAGGGCAGAAGATTCATGTAGCATTTACTTTCTGCATTCCATCTGCCCTTAGTTCAGGCATGCAGGCAGGAGGGTGTGCTTAGCTGAAAATGTCCTTCTCCCTTTTTCCAGATGAAAGAAAAAAAAAATGCCATGAAGACACCTAGGATGTACAGTCAGGTCCATAAACATTGGGACATCGACACAATTCTAACATTTTTGGCTCTATACACCACCACAATCGATTTGAAATGAAACGAACAAGATGTGCTTTAACTGCAGACTGTCAGCTTTAATTTGAGGGTATTTACATCCAAATCAGGTGAACGGTGTAGGAATTACAACAGTTTGCATATGTGCCTCCCACTTGTTAAGGGACCAAAAGTAATGGGACAATTGGCTTCTCGGCTGTTCCATGGCCAGGTGTGTGTTATTCCCTCATTATCCCAATTACAATGAGCAGATAAAAGGTCCAGAGTTCATTTCAAGTGTGCTATTTGCATTTGGAATCTGTTGCTGTCAACTCTCAAGATGTCATGGACAGCTCCTGGTCACTTTACCTCCCTGGCGGTATTCCTGAGTGTAGCTCGGGGTAAATTTTCAGCACTACAAGCGGTAACCCCGAGCTACACTCGGGAATACACTGCAGCGTTGCTCCGGGATCCCTTCTGCACTTACCTTGTCCTTCGCTCCTGCGATGTCCCCCCTGCAGTGTCCCCGGCCATCTCCTCCGGCCGATACCGGCATCTGTCTTCTGGGTTTCTGTTCCCTGCAACGTCGGGACGAACGGGGGACGGAACGGCGGGAAATTTTAAAGTGGCAAAAAGTGACATTCACTCAATACACTAAAATCACATAGTATTCCATTCCTGTATCAAACCATTTCACATACATTTTGTCCCGAGTGCTTTGTCCGGCACCCTGCCTGCATTTTTACTTTTTCTGCCTGGAAACTGAGAAATGAGAAACGTCCAATGATTGGTGAGGGGAAATTCCTCATCAAACACTGAAAACGATTTTGCGACTTTGCTCAGTGATGTGCGAACTTGGCACTATATTTCACATTTCAGTGTTTTTGGTTTGATTATATTATTGAAGTAAATTTATTATTATTATTTTTTATGATTATTTATTAAATTATAATTTATGATTTCGTGTTTCAAATTTTATCTTCCCCGGGATGTTTACTAGACTCTTGTTCGGACAGATTTCAGTAAGTTATTCCTAAAATTACAGGCCTACAATAAAAAACTACATATTTCCATGCAAAAAAATGTACCGCTTTGAGTACAGAAATATGGACATAATCAGACCGCTAGGGAGGCTATCAATAATCGGGAGAGGGAGGGACCAGCTGCTGGTCATGTGACTGCTGTGACAGCAAATTAAAGTAGTCAGGCGATTGGGTAGTCCTTCCTGCTGGGGCTGGGCAGGTAGGGATTAACTACTTGCCGACCCAAGATAGCCGAATGACGGCGGCACTGCGGCTGGCCAGTTCTGGGTGGGCGTCATATGACGTCCTCCCAGAACGCGTTCTCCTGGGGTGCGCACCCGGACACAGCTGATCACGTGATGTGGTAAAAGGCCAACCACAGCGCCCTTTTACCACGTGATCAGCCGTGTCCAATGACACGCTGATCACCGGGAAATGCAGTTGCCGGTTCTTGGCTGCCCTTTCCTCACACTGTCAGATCGTGAGGAAAGTACTGCCGAGAACCGGCAGTTGTCAGAGCGGGGATCGGCACCGATCATCAGGGCACTGATGATCAGTGCCCTGATGATCGGTGTCCAGCAGTGCCACCCACAAGTTCCGCCCACCTGTGCCCAGCAGTGCGCCCACAAACTCCGCCCACCTGTGCCCAGCAGTGCGCCTACTTGCTCTGCCCACCTGTGCCCAGCAGTGCATCCACCTGTGCCCAGCAGTGTCACACAAGTGTGCCCAGAAGTGCCACCTACCTGTGCCCAGCAGTGCCACCCACCTGTGCCCACCAGTGCCCATCAGTGCAGCCTAGTAGTGCTGCCAGTCAGTGGCACCAGTCAATGCCCAGCGGTTGTGCCAGTCAGTGCCCAGCAGTGCCGCCAGTCAGTGCCCAGCAGTGATGCCAGTCAGTGCCACCTATCAGTGCTGTCTATCAGTACCCATCATCAGTGTCGGCTATGAGTGCCGCCTATCCGTGACACCTCATTAGTGCTGCCTATCATGCCAGTGCCGCCTATCAGTGCCCTTCAGTGCCCATCAGTGCCGCCTATCAGTGCCCATCAGTGCCGCCTATCAGTGTCCATCAGTGCCGCCTCATCAATGCACATCAGTGAAGGAGAAAAATTACCTGTTTGAAAAATTTTATAATAGAAACAAAGAAAGTTTTTTTTTTTTTTTTTAATTTTTTGCAATTTGTTTTTATCAGCGCAAAAAGTAAAGCGCCCAGCGGCGATTAAATACCACCAAAAGAAAGCTCTATTTGTGAGAAAAAAATGATAAAAATGTCATATGGGTACAATCTTGCATGACCGCGCAATTGTCAATCAAAGTGCGACAGCGCTGAAAGCTGAAAATTGGCCTGGTAAAGAAGGGGGTATTTCTGTGAGCCTGAGCTCAAATGTATACAGAAATATATACAAAATATAAACATGAAAGCATACTAAGCAGCACAGTTGACCCTCACACGCTGCAAGAGTTAAAATGTCTGCCGACTGCAAACTTGCTGTGACTTTATCTGAGTTATAAGGCATTTCTGTAGAAAATTCACGACAGCTACATTTAAGAACCACTACAAATAAACAATTCTACATCAATATTTCTCGGGAATTGAAAACTGCTGGGTGATTTGACAGTGGAATATGTAATTAGGATGAAAGGAAAAACTGTTTGCTATTTCCTAGTGGTAAAATACTGTTTTTAAAGTCAAGTTAAGAGAGGGGAAAAAATGATTTAACCTGCAGAAAACTGGGGGAGCAGATTGTTGCACTGCAAAGACGCGAGGTAATAAAACAATCCTGAACAGTTCTGAGATGGAACCAATATGAGCCTGTGAGGTAAAAAGCGGAGCTCCTGAGCCATTCTAATAAACAAAAAAAAAAAAAAAGTATGTCGGGAAAATATTTGGTTATACGATAGAATTTGTTAAGGTATTAAATTCTATTTGGCCTTTTTTTTTTCCTTTCAGTAGAACCATGGCCTTCTAATAAAAAAAAAATGCGCTGTAGCATTTAGTCCACATATACACCAATGAACTAGGCCGATGCAAATTTATCGAAAGAAATCTTTTGATTCCTTCTGTGGTTCTGGGCAGCTAGGTGCGGCCGCTGACCCCATTCAGTATATTAACAGGTCACCAGCGGCTGCAGGTATCCGCGACTGTCCACACAGCCAGCGATTACCTGCGGTGTTCGCGCTGGACACACACAAAGTGCATCCAGCAGCAATCACGACAGGTAATCGCTAGCCCTGCAGAGAGCCATGGATAGCTGCGACCGCTAGCAACCTGTCATTATAGTGAATGGGGCCGGCAGCTAGAAAAAAAAGAATAAAAAATATAGTGCCTTATCCAAGGTAAATAAAAACACTCTTTAATGTGCTCCAATAATGCACTCACATTGTTTAAACAATAAAAACGCATGCATTGTAATTTAAGACGCAGAGTGCGGTAATGATCAGCCTTGTAGGAGTGTTATCGCACTCCGTCAGTACTCGCCGTAATGATGATCCGATACGTGGTGACGTCACTGCCCCTCCCCAACGCGTTGCGCCACAGGGAAAAAGTAGCTTCGTCTGGGGGATGTAGTAGCTTGGTATAAGGCACTATATTTTTTATTCTTTTTTTCTATGGGTCATATGAGGATACATTGAGCATTGGAGTGAGGAGAGGCTCTAGGAGGGAGAAATCCTTATGCCTGTATAGGCTCAGAAGATAAGCCGTAGGTTTCCAGCCACACCACCATAAGCAGCTTGAAAGGAGAGTATATTATCATCATCTTCTCCCTGCTGAACTTCAAACAAAAAAAAAAAAAAATTTTTTTGCACATCTTCCTTTTTTGCACATTTTTTTGCTGTTGAATTTCATCTATTTATATATATTTTAAAAAATATTTTTTTATTTTCAATTAATTTTTATATATATATATAAATATTTATTGTTTTGCACAATTTGCACATTGGACATTATGAATTTATTTATTTCTAATGAGATATTTATAATCATTCTTTGTTTTGCACAATTTGCACATTGGACTTTATGAATGTATTCATTTATTTTTAATGAGATATTTATATTGTAAAATTATCACAATTGGATTTATTCACACATTTTTTATTTATATTAATTTTTTTGACCAAACACTGTGGTAATATAATTTGATTAATTTTGGTAATGCAGCTGATAAGTTGATATTTTCACAGTATATATTAATTAGTGGTATTTTTAAGCATATAGTATTGGCGCGGGTAGTATTAGAGCGCGGTAATTATCAATTGTTTTTATGTAGTATACATCTTATGAGGGTGAGCAAAGATTCCAGCGATCTAATACACTGATTTTTGACTCCAGTGGCTCACAAGTCCATTTATATAATAGTAGTAGCCACCCCTACTACACTGCTACTCCAGTGATCGCCACCAGCTTCCACATCCCGTGCCGTGTAGCTGCCCTGCTGCATTCTGAACACGGGGGGGTTACTCTCTCTGCATGGGCGCCATTTTCAGAGTACACTTTGACAAGGCAGAAAGGCAGCATGTGATCTCACAATCTCCACTTCATCCAATCAGAGAACATTTTAAATTTATTAGGAAAATGCAAAGCAACTTCTGAATAGTGTCTGTGGCAATCTCCTATGTGCATAAACCCCTTGACGCCAAGCGCAAGCAAATATGCGGCCTCTCCGCGTCTGGGCCTTGACGATGAGTGGCCGCATATTTGCGCGCCATTAGAAAATACATATGTGCTGAGAGCGCATGCCCTGCGCGCTCCCAGCACGTACAGTATGTCTGTGACTCACGGAAAGGTCCTGATCTCCCCTTTCGATTGGGACCTTTTCCGATCATGTGACCGCCGTGACGGCGTATCACGACCGTCACATGACCCTAAAACCCCGCCCGCCTCCCGGCTTCTAAAACTCTTAAAAGGCCGGGAGACACCGGTACTAAGAGTTTAAGCAGCAGGGTAGCCACTCGACACAGGGCCTTGAAGATTGTGGGGATCACTGTAGTAGCGGTGAAGTAGGAGTGCCTACTACAGGGATTTCCAGCTTTCACAAGCATCCCACGGACATTATATATGAATAGTTGCATTGGTCCAAGCTGGATCATTGTAACTATGCAAAAATATTCATACCTGGAATTTATCTTCAATTACAAGTACATTTGCATTAAACGTTTTCTCTTAGTCACCCTGCAAAGTTCCACAAATACCTATTGATCCTGCCAGTGAAGTCCACCTAATGCAGCTTCTTGTGATGGTGTGGCAATGATGCTGCACTGTTCCTGAACTCAGAGCAGAATTGAGCTGCGCATAGGCTGTGCCTACTTGCACTACAGTGGAAGGAGAAGACATTGCAGGGGGGAGCGGCTATCTGCACTGTCACTGCTTGTAGCCTATCAATTAGCACCTGGCAACAATAAGTCACACCCTCTACTTTATGTGTTGACCACATTTCTCTGCTGCTGAAACCCTCCCTCTGTGAGCTGCAGTGTTTGGGAGGGGGGAGCGTGTGAGACACCCATTTAGGAGAGGTAAAAGAAGTTTTGTTTACATTATTGAGGCTTGTGCATTGTATAGCAACTAGACTCCGCTTTTGTACTTGTTTCGACTGTCATACTGGAGCCTGCTGGAGGACTCCGCTCCTTCCTCTGTAACTCTCCTCTCCTGAAATACTCTGCTCTCTGCTGGAGGACTCCGCTCCTTCCTCTGTAACTCCTCTCCTGAAATACTCTGCTCTGCTGGAGGACTCCGCTCCTTCCTCTATAACTCTCCTCTCCTGAAATACTCTGCACTGCTGGAGGACTCTGCTCCTTCCTCTATAACTTCCCTCTCCTGAAATACTCTGCACTGCTGGAGGACTCCACTCCTTCCTCTATAACTTCCCTCTCCTGAAATACTCTGCACTGCTGGAGGACTCCGCTCCTTCCTCTATAGCTCTCCTCTCCAGAAATACTCTGCTGTGCTGGAGGACTCCGCTCCTTCCTCTGTAACTCCTCTCCTGAAATACTCTGCTCTGCTGGAGGACTCCGCTCCTTCTTCTATAACTCTCCTCTCCTGAAATACTCTGCACTGCTGGAGGACTCTGCTCCTTCCTCTATAACTCTCCTTTGCCTGAAATACTCTGCTGTGCTGGAGGACTCCGCTCCTTCCTCTGTAACTCTCCTCTCCTGAAATACTTTGCTGTGCTGGAGGACTCCGCTCCTTCCTCTATAACTCTCCTCTCCTGAAATACTCTGCATTGATAGAGAACTCTCCTCCTTCCTCTATCTAACTCTCCTCTGCTGAAAAAAAATCTGCACTGGTGAGGTGACTCTTCTCCTTCCACTAACTCTCTACTCCTAAAATACTGCGTGATGCTCGGGGACTCTGCTCTTTCGCTATCTAACAGACAAAGGTGGTTGGAGCAATAAGTTGATGGAGTAAAACCACCTCCTTTGGTACCTGTTTGGCAGTTGTAATGTCACCTTCCTTCTTTTCTGCAGCCATATAGCACAGACCAGACTGAATCTTGTACATCAATTTACAAATCTAGGAGCAGGAAAAACAGCTCCTTTATGGATGTCTCATATGTTGCCAGGAGTCATCTTTAGCCACAGTGGAGAATGAAAGGACAGCGAAGATACGCTGTCTCTCTGAACCGGTCACAGAGAAGCAGGTTCACAAAGCCTCATCAGCAGAGAGAGTAACACTGCCACCACTGGGCTCAAAGCAGGTTTCTGTTGAGA